GAATATCTTTAATTATGCTAAACCTGCAAAGAAAACAGTCAGAAGTTAGAAATCTGCAAAGTGATCTGTGCTAAGAAATCTGTGCTAAGTGATTTTCTTTGTGTCCTAAAGATGTGAGAAGCAGATACTGAGATACAGGCTCTTTGAATAACAATTGAAAGGATGAAGGACTGGAATTTCTTCTGGTTCAATGGATTTCTCCTCCACCTTGCAGATGAGCATCCATTGAATAGTTTATAGTTGCTGTTTTTTCATTGAAAGGACCTAATGTAAGGATAGAAAAGAAGGGAGGGATATGATAGACTAAGCACTGGGCAAATCTAATTCTGGAGTATATTCTTGCATTTTAAATCATCAAGCAAAGAGGTGTTACTTCTAAAAGCATTTCATGGAAATGATGGCTTGAACGTTTTGTGTTTTTTTCAGGAGCAATCTGAGATCTTGAAAAAACAAATGCAAATAGGTCATTCCTGATATCTGGGAGTTTTAAGAACTATTGAGATGTGTACTTAAAATACTTTGGACATGGTTTGAATCATTTTAAAGTGCAAATCTGAGGGGTCACTTAGGAATATATTCTCTGCAAACATTCCATTGAAAATGTTGCTAGTACCATACTTGCTGCTATTTATTGAAGGACAAAAATCAATTATGAAAGGAAGGAAAAGTACAGCTTGTCCGCTACTTTTGCCTTTTCATTTAGTGCCTGTCCATAAGTATGCTTTCACTTATGTGTATTTGGGAGAGAGGCTTATTTACTCTGGAAAATCTCAGCTTTTGCTTAAAGTGTGAAGTGAACTTCTAGCCCATTATTGAGATGAATGCAGTTTTTTTTTTTTTTTTACCTTTTGGGAGAATTTTTCATAAAGATAGTGTGATTTTGGAGATATTGGGGATAATCTGTAATGGAGTGGAACACAGAGAAGAGACAGTTTTCTTTTCTTGTTTTCCTGGCTTTTGGGCTAAGGACAGATGGTTGGCAAACTTGTTGCTGTGGTTAACTATGCCAGTTGGTTAAAGGGCTCTCTGTGTTCTTCGCTATTTCTGAAGAATTGTGAAGAGTTGTTTCCCTGGCTGGTTTCTAAACTTTCTCCGGTAATTTCCAAACTCTTGTGTGCATATTTTATTGTGGCCTTCAATAATCCCTCCTTCCCCTCACTGTCCTGATTTTGTATTGCATGTCTCTGCCATCCACTTTCATGTGCGTTGTAGAAAAGAGGAAGGAGAAAATTTATTTTGCAACTGTAACCCCTCTTGATTGATAAATTTTCCGATGGAAGAACCTGCAGGGATAAAGCATGTCAGGCTGCATGTGTGTGCCAGACGATGTAATCATAGCAAATCAGAAAGATTTGGTCCCCCTCTAATTCTATCCCCACCTCATCTACACCTTTATGTACCATCTATGGAATCCAGTGGATCTAGTCTATGATCAGTAGGTGGCGGTCTTGTGCTCTCCAAAATTCCTCTCTCCTGTCTGATTTTTGTTCTTGCACCTTTTGTTTTACATTTATTTAATTTTATTCCACCTTTATTATTTTTATAAATAACTCAAGGCAGCCAGCATAGCTAATATTCCTTCCTTCCTCCTAATTTCTCCACAACAACTTTATTAGGTGGCCTGGGCTGAGAATGAATTGAGTTCAACAGGCAACTCCAACAGCAGGGAGATTGGTATGTTGACAACCCAAATACCAGAGTAGAGTAAAGGAAATCTCGATTCGGAGGTTAGGACAAATGATGGAAATTGAAGCAAATTCTCAGAAACATTGGCTCTTAAAATTTGGCAAATCAAGACATTCATTTCACCAGTTATAAACGTATGGCTTCAGAAATTAGATTACTCAAGTATCTTGGTGAAATATTTTTGCCCCCAAAATATCATATTCATTAAACAAGCAAATAATCTCTTGATCCATCTTTCTGAAGTCTGTCCTCCTTTTATTATTGGATTTGAACCTGTCTTTAGAAGATGAAAAATACATTTACGTATTTTAAGTAGATGTAAAAAGTGATGGGGGAGAGAAAATATTTTTTCCCCACTCCTAAAAAGCAAGCTATGCCTGAACACAAATTTTCTTCTCTTGAGCATCTTTTTTTTTTTTTTAAGTCGGACTGAACACACAAAAAATGCTTCAGATTTGAAAAAGCTGTTGGAATGGAAGAAAGCATATTCAGCCTTTTTGGGGTTAGATGTTTAAATTTCTAGACTAGAAGAATAAAGGTGCCAGAACACTGGAGTACGAATTTTAGAGATCAAAAATGTTTCTGTGTGGATGTAAGCCTATCCTGGAAGTTTGATCAATTGTATTGGATGGTGTGGGAGATGGAAGGATAGTCAGCTGTTCTTCAACCGTCATGAACTGTCCTTACATCTCCCACACCATCCAATACAACTGATGAAGCTTCCAGAGTAGGAAGCAAAACCTCTTCTTTTTACTTAAAAAAAAATCAGTCCAGTTGCCTTTTCAAAAATAAAAACCACTTTTGATACCCACCTGTTATTGTCCAGAAATTTTACAGTTGGGACTCCCAACTGTTGGTCATGTTGATTGAGGACTAAAAATGGTCAGGGGTGGCATTCAAATTTTTTAACAACCAGTTCTGTGGGCGTGGCTAGGTGGACAGGGCCATGTGACTGGGTGGGCGTGGCTTCTTTTTTGCAAGCCCCCTCCCGTTTTTTTGTTGTTTTTTGCTTCCTGGGCCTCAGGCATGCCTCTGGGGGGGGGGGTTGCTCCCAGGAAGCTTCCTCAGGACCCAAGAAAGCAAAAAACAGAGCATGGGGGTGGCATGCAGGTTTTTGGCCCTACACTCCGTTTTTGGCCCTCCTGGGCCTCAGGCAAGTCTTCTGAGGGGCGTTTCTGCTCCCAGGAAGCTTCCTTGGGGCCCAGGAAATTAAAAAACAGATCCTAGGGGCCCCGCAGGTCCCTTTTTTGTCTCCTGGGCTTTGGGGAAGCCTCCTGGGCGAAGCAGTAAGACAGCGAGGGGGATTCCAGAACAGCTGATCATCGGAACAGCTGATTGTCGGGAGGGGGAAAATACCTTAAGGAGTGACTGGGCGGGGCAGAACGCAGTCAGCGATGTCGGGCATGTGCAATAAGGACTGACTGGGAGGGGAGGGCCAGCCAGGGGTACGATTTGCCGATCCCTCAAACTGCGCAGAATCATAAGAAAGCGGTCCAATCCGGTAGAATCCCACCCCTGAAATGGTCCCCTTAACCTGCTGCATGGTTCCAGGTATTACAATTTGGAAGGCTGCCATTTGATGGATGTTGTGTTCCATTGGTTAAGTTCTTGGTTGCTGTTATAATGGAAGACAAGAGTGGGTTTCTCCTCCCGCCCTTATTATGGAACATTTCTGTTGATCAGCAATGTTACACCAAGGCTTAGCTATCACAGGAAGAAGGTGGATGAGGCAGGTATATGGGGAGCCTTTTCCCAAATTCTTCAAACTACTAAAGGTATGCAGAAATATTTTCCTTGGGAGAGACCTGCCTCTAATCCAACTGGATTTGCTGTTACTTTTGATTCACACGAGGATAGGTCTCTGAATAGAACATGCTAGCAGCTCTAGATCCCTCTGGTTCAACCTACAATCCCTGTTTTGGTGGGATTGCTGCAACCATAAGATTTTAGCTCTGCTTCATTTGCCTGTTCCTTCTGTGGCATCTTAGCAGCTCTGTGGGTTTGGTTTTTTTGAACTTCTTGACTACTGTGGAAGAAAAAGCTCTCCATTGCAGAGTGAAGATCTCAACCCTTTTCTGTTCTCCTCTGCAGCTGATGAAGAGCTTGAAGAGACTTGCTGAACTGCCAATCACAATTGAAATTCTTCTGGTAAGTTATTTTGTAGTACCATTTCTTGCACTTGGAAACTTAGTCCTGTTGCAGATTCCAAGTATTGCTGCCCAGGATGGAGGTTCTGCGGAGTGAAAAGTTGCAAATCTGGATAAAAAAGGGTAACCTCTCTGAAGATTGATTGATTATTTATTGATAGATTATCTAATTATTTATTAGTTGATGGCATGGCGTCTCACAACAGCAGTAAAATCCAATAATGACAAAACATAATGATCTCCCTCCCTCTCCCTCCCCCATACACACACACACACACACACACTCCCATAATCATCTCTTTGGATGAACTTTGTATTGTTCTGATGAGGCAAAGAATTCTTCTGAGGATGTGGACTTGACTGTTTACTGGAGAGCAATAAAGGGTCACTGGAGCTTGGTGGTTCCAGTCTGGCATAGTATCCTTTGAGTCATCTAAGCCAGGGTTGGGCTAAATCTGTCCTGCTGTGATGGCTCTACCCTTATTACAAATGGAAATGCTCAGACAGACACTTCAAAATACACAAAAATGTTTTATTGCTCCACATATATCCTGCTAAGCCATAACTGCGCTTTGAATAAGTCACAATTGGGCTTGCATTCAGCCCCGATTTGTTTATTTGTTTTAGGCTTAGCATGTTGTATGAACTCAGCCGTTAACTAGCTGTCCTTGTCAAAGCTGTTTTTTTACATCCTTTCCGCAGGAGACTGGAGTCGGAAAGACTGTGAACAGCTTACGAAAACTAGAACAGGTTGGAGAATTTGCCAAGAACTTGGTGGCAAAATGGAAGAAGCTTGTGCCAGTTCCACAGGAAACAGAGCGGTGAGTTGGGCTTTTATAATATCTCTTCTTAACAGACAATGTCCTTGTATAGTTCATCTGCCCTCAAAAACAATTTGAAGCTCTGTTTCCTGATACAGCTCCACTGCCTGGTGGAATGTGCCAAATGTCCCCTTAAAGCTTTAATAGCCGGGGAGAATATAAACAATGAAAGATCAAGATAGTTTGATAAAATAATGTGAAAGAAAAAAAAGTGTAAGCTTTACAGATAATATGTGAAGAACAGTTGCAGGATTTGGGTATAGCTAATCTGGAGAAGGACTAGGGGTGACATGATAGCAGTATTTCAATATTTGAGGGCTAGGCAAGGCAAGAAACAATGGATGGGAACTAATCAAAGAGAGGAGCAACCTAGAACTAAGGAGAAACTTCCTAACAGGGAGGACAATTAACCAGTGGAACAGCTTGCCTCCAGAAATTGTGGGTGCTTCGGGACTTCCTGTTTGAACTTCTTCGCAGACAGACCAAAACCGTGATCGTGCGCGGTTTCAATCCGTGCTCACCGCTGGAGCGCCCCGAGCCAGTTGGTTTCGGGGCTAAGCCACCCCGTAGAGGTGGTGAAGAGGGGGGAGACTGCCAGCAGGGTTGAGGAGAGCCGCATCTCTCCTCAGCTTGCCATTACTCCCTTTCCCGAAGGTGGTTGCAGCGGTGGTCAGAAATGGCCACCTCAAAGAAGAACTCGACCGGAAAAGAAAGTGCAGGAGGGAGATAAGAAGAGAAAGTCTTGGTTGACCGGGTTAAACTGCAAAAGCAACAACTAAGGTACCCTGGAATTTAAACTATAAAAAAAAAGTAACATTCCCAAAGAAGACTTTGAAGCAGCGAAGGAGAGAGAAAGGGGAAAGGATTTGGTTTTTTTTTTCTTCTCTCTCTTTCCCCATACTGACAGCTAAGAGATTTAAGCAAGAAATTGGAAAAAAAATCCACTTTGACATCAATAGGCATTTAAGCTGAAAATAAAATGTCAAAGGGATAATAAAGATTTCTGGATACTTAAAAGCTTTTAAAAGCAGGAAAGGAGAGAAAAAGAATAAAAGGGCAGGATCTGGAAAAAAGGGAGGAGACTGCCTGGAATTAAAAGGAATTTACAGTAAAACTTCAACAAGACTTCTAAAAGATACATTTTAACTGAAACTTGGCAACAAAATAGTAGAACCCCAGGAAGAGAAAGTGGAAAAAAGAAGCAAAAAGAAACAGCTTGGGAGTATTTGGATTACTTGGTGATCTCTGGATTTTTGGTTATTGCATTTGAATGACTAAAATCAATCAGGAGGTTGTTTAAAAGTGTTTAAAATGGCACCACTTTTAGAAGAATTGAGAATGAAACTTAAAAAACAGAAAGAAGATGCACAAGAAGGAAGGGGTTCTTTTGGCTTCATATTTCAATTTTTAGAAATGGAAATTTGGAACTATGAGAAACAACAAGAAATGCCTGCAGAACAAGAAAATTGGGACAAAGAAGAAGCCATCTTTAATGAACAAGTAATTTTATGTGGGGGGAAAAAAGGAAAGGGGGGGAAAGAGAATGAAAAGTTTAAGATTTGAAAAAAAAAAAAAAAGAAAGAAAAATAGTTTGAAAAATAAGTATAATATTAGAAAGCAACAGAAGAAGGGAATACAGAAGAGAGAATTAGAAGTAGAGAGACAAGGGGGTAAAAAGGGGAGGGAGAAGAAGAGAGGGAAGAAGGAAAGGAAAAGAAGTTACAAAGGACAGAAACATGATATAGAGAAACGGCCTATTTAGAGATAATGGGTGAAAATTTAATTGAAAAAGGGATTCTGCAAAGGTACATAAGATAGTATTGTTATATTAGAAATAGAAATAATTTTAGAAAATTTGAAACAATGTATGATTAAAATGATGGATAAAATAGTTATTGTAATCCAGTGAAATGTTTTTTAATAAATAAATGAAATAAAACGAATGAGAGAATTGAATTAGGAAAATATGGGAACATTTTAATAATTTAATGTTTTATAAAATATAAGTGAAGAGGAATAGGGGGAAAAAAATAATTATGGAAAGCTTATAAGTGTTCCCAAGGAAGTATGATATTTAATTGAAAAGAAATGTTAAAGAAGTTAAGATTTTGATGAATATTAATATTAATGATAGAACTGAATTGGAATGGAATGAGTGTTTTAATTACATATATTTATAATTTCTTTTTAAGAATACAGTGTGTATTTTAGGAATGTACCAAGCAGAATTCGATTGGAAGTTATGTATTATATTGAATGTTATAACCTTAAGGTATACATTGAAGCTTAAATAAGAGTTGAATGGATAAAACTAAAAGATATAAAGGTGTCATACTCCAATTAGTAACTACAGGAGAAAATTTGTTTAAGGAGAAAAGATAATATGAAATTGAAACAGGACAGACAAAAGTATAAATATAATGATTTGAATTGAGATGAGATAATCAAAACAGAATTGGGAAAATTAAAAGAGGGGGAAAAACCTATATAGAAAATGTAGAACAGTAATAAGATATGGAACAGAACATAAAAATGAGTATGAAATTGAGTTTGTGTCTGTACGAAGAAGTGTGACCCGGGACCATGCTACTTTCAAAAAAAGATGTTTTATTTGTATTATGTGTTTTTTTTTGTGAAAACCCAAATAAAATTCTCTCTCTCAAAAAAAAGTTGTGGGTGCTTCACCACTGGAGGCTTTTAAGAAGAGATTGGACTGCCACTTGTCTGCAATGGTATAGGGTCTCCTGCTTGAGCAAGTGGTTGGACTAGAAGACCTCCAAGGTCCCTTCCAGCTGTAACCTATTCTAAATTCTAATCTAAGAAAGTAGAAGTTGGCTGCATTCTGTTTTGGTGTTAAGAAGAAGACGGGACTAGGCAATTGTAGCTTTAGCTTAGGTTTTCAGTTCATCTTTGATTAGATTCAGTAATCTAATCCTTTCCCTGTTTTTCTTTTTTTAAGGCATACTCTTGAACCTACGGAACAGGGTTATGACCGAAACATCTCGAGGAAACGACAGCGAGACCTGTTGCCCAAAGAGGACAAAGAGGTCTACTCAGAGACACATCAGCCTTCTTGCAGCCAGTCATACGAGTCGGATTGTGGAACTAAAAAAGTCAAGAGATATTCAGACCCAGAAAAATCCCACCATGATGTAAACTATGATATTCCACAAGACAGGTCATGGAGGAGAGGTTCTTCTGACCAGGAATGTTCTGACTATGGACACGCCGTCTCCTCTGAGCTCAGCGAAAGTCCTCAGGAACTATATATGGACCTCCATCATGCTGAGGAACAAGAGAGGGAGCAAAAATCCTTTTCCCGAAAGGGGTTTAAAAGCCACCAGTTTCAGGACAGAGAAGAAGTTACTCATAGGAATTTCAGTGACTCTCAAGAAAAAGCGAGTTCAAGTCGGAGCAAAGAGTCTAAACCTTCTCACAAAGAGAGGCAGCGGCCAGAAGCCAAGGGGGAAGAGAAGGCACCTGTACTTGGCTCCGAGAGGCTGCCGAAGGGTTCTTCGATCCATGACGCTTCCTTATCAGGTAGCAGCAAGGAGAAGCTGAAAGCCCCGGACAGCCTCAAGCGAGACAAGAAAAAAGATGGCGGCAGCATCAAGAAACAGAAGGCCCACTTTGATTTGAATGATAGCTTGAACGAACATAGGAAGAGACAAAAAACTCATGACCCCCCAGAAAGGGCCAAATCAGAAAAGGTGAAATTTTGCATGGAAACCGTATATGGAGATCAGGAGAAACCGAAACCTGAGGGAGATCTGCCTAATAAGAACAAGGAGAAGAAGAGTTCCAGCAGCTTTAAAACTTCTGAGGGCAAATCCAGAGCCCTTGAATCAAACAAAAGACCTGCAAATTTCTCGCCTCCCAAAGCGGGAGAGGCGGAGGACGAGTATGAACAGCCCACCATGTCCTTTGAGTCCTATCTGAGTTATGACCTGCCTCAGAAAAAGAAAAGGAAGCTGGCCAAGCCTACGACAGCTCCGGTCCCAGAGAAAGGACATAGCAGCAAGCAGAACGGTTCCAAATCAAGTGCCAAGAGCTCAGACGCAAGCCGGAAAGCTCCCAAGCAAGTGAGCGAGAAGAAGCCGGTGGAGGCATCTGCATCTAAAGCAAAAAAAGTAAGGGATCGCAGTCGCTTCCTATGGCTTATTTGGGGATATAGTCAGGTGCACCTAGCCACCGTAATTTGTAATTCATGGCTTATCATTAGGCCCAATGTTGAAACTCAGTAGATGGTGGTTCCTTCAGCAAATTGGTTAAGCAGATCAGGGCCTGCCTGCACCCAGGATATTTTAGCACCTGGAAGGGAATGCCAGACAAAGGTTCTGCAGGTTTCAAAGGCAGCTTGTGCTTCTAAGAGTTTGGGCCCATTCATAACTATGCCTGTGGGATTTTCAGATGTGCCTGTAACCCAATATCCATCATACCCATGCTGGTTTAGCACTTGTAGAACCATCCTTTCGGAAGAGGCCAGATTGGAAAAGGCTGAGTCCTATTTGAATTTTCCAGACTGAACATTGAAATTTCCCCCCTCTATTTATGAAATACACCCCTCTTTAATATTGTCCATTTTTTTACAGACATCTTTGCCCCTTTAATTTGTTTCTCCTCGAGAATGATGCACCCAATATTTACCTGTAACTGTTATTAGGAGGTTATGTTCACGTATTAAAGGTATTGGGCTGTCCCCCAATATTTCTGAATAGAATGGTAAAAGCATTAGTAGCAAACAGGCACGTGGGTTTTTTTTTTTTTTAAAGTGCTATGGGTAAATTTTTTACTATTTTATTAACTTTATATGTATGCTGCCTATTCCCAAAGTTTTTCCCCGTAACGTTGAAGGTATATAATACATCATAAATGATCTGTTATGCAGTGGAATGGGCTTATCTATTAACTTACAGGGATAAAACATGGAGCTCCGTCCTTTCCAAAACCTCTTGCTGAGTAAGCTAGCTTGGGTGCAATTTTCTCTCCAATGGAAATTTTCTCTCCTTGGTGCTCACTGTGCTTGGTTGTTTGTTTGTAGATGTTTCATTCCCCAATTAGGTAACATACGTGCAAGTGAGTGAGATTTGCCCTCTGCCAGTATAATATTACCTGCCAAAGAAATATTTAGCTACATCTTTTCCATTGTTTGTAACGGAATATATAAATATTTAAAATAATGTTTTAACATTGCTCCCTAGACCAATTTTCTATAGGTTGATAGGTAGACAGGACTCGGCACTTGAAAAAGGTTGAAGATGCGAGAGGATTTGTTCTTTGAACTCCCCCATCGTTCCTAATGACAAAATATTCAACATGTTTGAGTTTACCTCTGTTGAAGTACAGCCTTCTCAAAATGTTAAGTGAACGGTTTTGTCATGAGTCTGTTTGGTTCCAAGGATGATCCCCTTCCCCCTACACAGTAAATACAGACTTTTGCAAAGCTATCTTAACCAAATATGGGCTTTCTCCCTTCCAGATACTCATTGATGTGGTGCCGATGCTCCCCGACATTCCACTGCCTGCAATCCAGGCAAATTATCGTCCTCTTCCTTCACTTGACACAATCTCATTCACCCAACCAAAGAGGAAAGGTAAAGTCGGAGCGGAATCTTTTCATTTACTGTTTCTGAATGTGGTGGTTGAAGACAGATTGGGTGATACAAGAAAAAAAATCATGTTGAAGTTCTGAATTTTTCTTTATCTTTTATTTACTTGCCTAGGCCTTCTTCCTCCTATGAAAGTGGGGGAAGACCGCTATACAAATACAATACGAATAGATGCCAATTTGGATTCAGGGAAATAGTTGGAATAGCTCAATTGGTAGTTGATAATTTATCTGACGCTTTCCGAAAAGGAAAGGAATGTGATTGTGGCTTTGCTTCCAAGCACATTGCATCTTAGCTGTTTGATCATGAAGATTTTCTTTGTGCAGTGAGGAATCATCTGCATCTGCATAAAAAGCACAAATATATCTTCTTTTCAAAGCACAAAATAACCTATGTCCACTGTTCCCAAGTTGGATTGATTCTCTTGAATTGGAAGCAGTAGTTTTCCATGCAAGCCACCCAGAATAGTCCCAGAGCGAGATAGGCAGCAAATAAATTTAACAAATACATTAATAATGGAAGGGCCTTCACAAGCTACAGGTGTTCATGTATGTAAACTTGCTATGTAAAAGACGTGTTTGGTAGCTGTAAACGAGGTATTTAGTGCAACCTCTGTGAACTTTCCAGCATCATCTGGTGGGGTTGGAGTATGTTTTTGGTCTTCTGAGACCTCCATGCTGGCCTCTAATGAGTCTTTTACCATCCCCTGGCCTTTGCAGCCCTCTCCTCCCCGACTGAAGAGGATGAGGCTGGTTTCACAGGACGTCGGTTGAATTCCAAGATGCAGGTGTACTCGGGCTCCAAGTCGGCTTACCTTCCGAAGATGATGAGTCTCCACGAGCAGTGCATCCGGGTTCTCAGCAATAACATTGACTGTGAGTCCGAGAGGTTGTCGGACTGTGGCCTGTGAAGGGGAAGGAGTTTGACAGTGAACTGGATTGGGATATTTACTTATTGAATAAGTAGGTTTATATGGTTGCCCAATTCACGGCAACACACACGCAGCTTTTGATTCCTGGCATCGAATACAGGGAGTCCTTGACTTACGACCATTCAGTTAAGGACTGTTTGAAGTTGGAAAAAAGGGAGTTACAGCTGGTCCTCACACTTATAACCGTCAATAGCATCTCCACAGCCATGTGATCAGAATTTGGGTCCTTGGCAACCAGCATGTATTCATAACAGTTGCAGCATCCTGTGGGGGGGGGGGGGCATGTGATTGCCATTTGCAACCTTCCCAGGAAGTAAAGTCAGTGGGGGGAGCTGGATTTGCTTAAGGACTGCATGATTCACTTAGCAACCCTGGCAAAAAGGTATTTAAATCAGGGATAACTCACTAGAGTAGATTGTCTTGATTAGTGATGAAATTTTGATCCCAATTGTGGCCATAAGTCGAGGACTACTTGCATATCTGTCATACAAACATTTGCATTAGAGGGTGGCTTAATTCATTACCCCTCCATCCAGCTGACCAGTTCTCTTTCAAAGCTCCTTTTCTTTTACAATCATGTTAATTTCTGGTTGGGGGGGGGGGGGAGCTGGGATTGGCATGAAATGATCCACGAAAGAATAGTTAAGCAAATGGGCTAAACTGACAGTAGTAATGGCTTATTTAACTTCGTTTAGTCCTAAAGCAATCAGCCATTCTGTTGTTCCTTGCCTTTCTTTCTAGTTGGCTGGGGAAACTTGATTTGGGCAACATCTAGTTATATATTTTGCACCCATGACATTATTGGGAGACCATGTGTGACATAGAAAACATTCTGGTCCTTCTATCCATACTTAGCTGATTTTAAGCCTCCTGGATTTCAGAAGATGCTTCCATGTCCTGTAACACATATAAAACCAAATACCTGTTTCCTGCTTGGAAAGTGTGCCCTGAAAATGAAGAAAGATCTATCTGCTTTTTTCTCCTAGCCATCTACGAAGTGGGCGGCGTTCCATATTCTGTACTTGAGCCTGTTTTGGAACGCTGCACTCCAGAGCAGTTGTATCGCATCGAGGAGTGCAATCACGTGAGTGTTACTAGATAAGAGGAAACGGGGTGTGTTGATCAATGATGATTCTTCTTCACCATTTGTTGTGAGACCAGTAGATGGTTCAGATATACAGTGTGATTTAATCTTCAGGGATTGTGTTTGCTCCAGGGCTTAAAATTAGACATTGCTCCAGTTTGTTAGCGCCTCCAGAAAGGACAGTGGGTAAATTTCTCAACCTGACAGTAGAAGCTGCCAACTTGAGAAACACAGTTGTACAGGTAAATTAATTTTGACCTGCTCTGCAAGGTGAATGGATGTCTCTGAAGTCCTTGGCAGACATTTTACATGCTGCCATATTTTACAGGATACCAGTACTACCAAATGACAAATTGGCATTTGGCATTGGGAGGTGATGAAGATACTGGGATTGCATTGTAAAGCCCCCCCTCCCCCCTCCCAGTGAATCTTGGGACTTGGACTTGGCTATTAGGCTATTAGCAACTATGGCCCCTTTGTGACTTGTGGACTTCAACTCCCAAAATTCCTGAGCTAGCATGGCTTGCTCAGGAATTCTGGGAGTTGAAGTCCATAATTCATAAAAGGGCCATAGTTGCCCACCCCTGCTATTAGCTAATGAAGCTAATGGACATGTTTCCTTCTGTAGCAGCCTCTCACATAAAGGGTATGGTAATAGGTAGCTCAGAAACCTGCTCTCAATTACCCTGTGAGATTTCCAAGTATATTTGGCAGAGGGAATTCAACTGGACCTTGAAGTTGCTACGTGTTTGTTACCAGCTGCTGTTCTCCTTAAGTATTCCTCTAAGGAACAAATAAAGATCAAGTAAGATAGAGTGACTTTAGAGGTGGTTAGCATCTGTACCCCTTAATTTTCTCAAACCCCACGAGGATGAATAGCAGCAAAATGACTAAGGGGCAGGTGATAAAAGAAGTCCCTTAGGAAGAGCCAAAGAGGTTCTGTGCACCCGGAAGGCCGTTACGTAAGCCTTGACGTTGCTTCCTTTATCACTAGTCCAAATAGCAGAGAGGACAGAATTTTCCAAAATTGTCCTTGTTGACAAAAGTGGGATTCCATTTTTCTCCAGTGAATGATCCTAAAGGAAAAGATTTCTCCAGGTAATTCTCAACTTAAGACTGCAGTTTGGATCAGAATTTTAGTCGTAAATTGTGAGGCATTTACGTGACTGGACTCGATTTTACAACTTGGGGTTTTGTAATATTTCCCTGGGCTTTTTTTGAAATCTGATAATATATCTTCTAGTAAACTTGCATCTCAGACAACTAGTTCTTGCTTCATAAAGGTTTTGAATTTGCACACTTTCAGGATAATTCTCTTTATTTATTTTTTCGGAGATACTCCAACCATAGGCTCAATCTTCCTTTGCCTCTTGGCTTCCAGGTTTTAACTGAAGACACAGATCAGTTGTGGCACAATCATTGCCAGCGTGATTTCAAGAAGGAGAAGCCAGTTGAGTTTGAGAGCTGGAGGGAAATGTACCTACGGCTGCATGATGCTCGAGAGCAGCGACTTCTGATGCTAACTCAAAACATCCGTTCAGCTCATGCCAATAAACCCAAAGGTATTGCGCCGGCATGGAGATAAGAAGAGGGGGGGGGGGGGGGAAGGCTAGGAAACCATTTTTTAATCTGAAAGGATTGTGGCCAAAACAAATTGGGTTGTTCTTTTCTTTTGTAAGTCCTTGCAAAGGAAAGGAAACAGTTTTCCCTCTGAAATTTGATTGTCCTGGCATAAGGACAGGATAAATAACACAAAATTGCTACTTCTGCATGCTACTACAGGTAGCCCTAAACTTACGACCATTCATTTAATGATAGTTTAATGGCCAGTTGTGACCTTTCCAGTCATCTTCCAACAAGCAAGTTGAATGTGGGAAGCCAGAGTCACTTAGCAATTATTCACTTAACGATAAAAATTCTGGTCTCATTTTTGATCGTAAGTTGAAGGCTGTCTGTACATAAGTCTTAAAAAGCCATGACTCTAGAAAGTGTCTGCAGTAATGGGTGGGAAATTAAAATTGTCTTAAATTTTATTTGAACAACCCTTTAGATGGCCTTTAACATTACTGGTTGCTAGTTGAAAATTGGTCTAGCCTGTTCTGGAGGGTTTAAAGCCAATGTTTTCCATGGCACGAACTGAAACATTGCCTGCACATCTCTGTACATGGCACCCTCACATTCTAGCATCCTCTAGGCATATTGGATGTCGACTCCCATCATTACTTTGGCTGTGCTGACTTGGAATGAAGGGAATTGAAGTCCCACAAGTCTAGAAGGGGCCAGATCTTGGATGGGCTGCTAGAAATCTGCTCATGGTGAATAGATGTGCAGCCTTTTGAATAATTGGCAACCGCACCTGGCTTGCCACATTGACTTGGGCACATTCCGGGTAGTTCTCTTTTCCTTTAACTCAGAGGATGATGAAGGTTCTAGTGAATGTTTAGGGAGATTCTCAGTCATTGAGGTCATGGTTGTCCCAAAGGTGCTTCAAAAAGACAACTGGACTTCCTTGGTTTTTTCCCCCTTAAATTAGAACTGAAGGAGCTTCTTGGATGAAGGGGGAAAAGCCAGAAAGTCCTCTTTTCTTTTGGAAAAGCACTTTTGGGAGCTCCAGTGAATGGTGATACCCATTTATGAGATTGCAGATCTGACTTGATATGCTCTTGTGCTGAAACGATCCTATAAAAAGCCTGCATGCTGGAAACAAGAGTGATCATAGGAATCAGCTTGTCTTAGGAGGGAAAGAAGATTTCCACCAAAGAGGAGACATGTTTCTTGTTAGCCATCCTCCCCTACCAGTTATCAGAGGGATTTTCTTTCTGGACTGACCTCTCTTTCTTGGTTTTGCTCCTCCTTTAGCCAGAGTAGCTAAGATGGCATTTGTGAACTCAACAGTCAAGCCACCCCGGGAAGTGAGGAGAAGACAAGAAAAATTTGGGACTGGGGGAGCAGCTGTCCCAGAGAAGATCAAGTACGTTTTCTATGAAGGCTTTCACTTTATCTTCTTCTTGAGGGGTGGGGGAACAGGGACAAGTTGTGGGGAAAAGAAATATGGGAGGCTGTGTCTATCCTGCCTGTAAGCATCCATTTTGGGAGGAGACGCAATATCTCGAGGGATTATGCTATGGCTAATTTTAAATACCTACGTACCCAGCTTAGGCATCACCTGTGCTTCCAGCATTGTTTTAATACAGCAGCTGTCATCCCTCTTATGATGGTACTTGAATTACTTTGTTTTGAAAGAAGGAATTGTTAACCTTTTTTAAAAGGGTGATGACAGGCCACTAAGAAAGTGTAAAATGGCCCTAAATAATGGGGACAAAAGTAAAATTTATTTTTTCCAGATCCAAATTCCTGATGCTTGAATGAAGAGGGAGTAATTGATCTCCAGCAACGCCAGTTGTTCCTGGATGACACCTTTTCTGTGTCTATTACAGTCCAGGCTCTGCTACAGAAATTGCCTCGGCAAGCACATTTGTTGAATATGCAGTGGAGCATTCCTTACACTCACCATCTTTTCTCTTTCCTCAGAATCAAACCTGTATTCTTCACCCCAACTAAAAGTAGCAGTGTTCACACAGAAGAGGAACAGGCTTACGACAGGCCAAGTACTAGCACCGGCCTCTCAGGTTCATCCCTGGGCAGCACTTCATCAGTGATCTATGACCCAAGGAAGCCCCCGGTGAAGAGTAAGTGAGCTGATGCCTCCATCCTGAGGGTTTTCATGAAAAATACTTTACATTAATCTCAAATGGGATTAAATTATTTTTTACATGGTTCCATGCATAAACATTTTTGAATGTGTCCATTTTAACATTTGATATAGTAAAGACCGATAAACACAACAAACTATCAAAATAAAAGCTCTTTTCAGGGGCAGCAGATTCTCCATAATTTTTAAAATAGGAAGCAGCAAGGCAAAAAACCGAAGCTGTTTTTGACCTGTCAGACAGTCTTCCCCGTCTGCTATAAAAGGCTTATTCAGAGGCCTGGTTTGGTGGGCAAAAATGTCTGGTTCAGCACAATTGCAACACTGCAGCCAAAATGAGAGTGATACATAAATTAATGTGAACTATGTAAAGCCTTAGGTCCATAGAGAAAGAAATCACTGGCAACTAAATACGTGCCTTGCAAAGATTTTTTTCCCCTACCTATAAAATAGAATTGGCTTACTTCATTATATTTCTAACTCTGAAGATTGGAAACCGTTTCCTTCAAATGCAAATCCAGATTTATATTCTGTATATATCTGTGTATCTTAATGTAACAGCTTATATGCCATAACCTCTCTTTTCTCTTCTTGTTTTGCAGAAATTGCACCTATGATGGCAAAGACTATCAAAGCTTTCAAAAACAGATTTTCTCGAAGATAAAGAAACTGTCAGGCTCCAGTGAATGCGAAGGAAAAAAAAACCTTATGGAAGCAGTGCTTAAAGGAAAAGGGAGGAGTTGCTGGGGAGTCTGAGTCCCCCAAAGCCCTGTTTAAGACCAACTGCACAGTATTGTTGAAAACCACCTTTCAGTTTCTTCCCTTTGTCCCCGAAATTTTTGTTTTATCTGCCAAGCATTTTGCAAATATGAAGTCTTGGCACCTGGCTGAGACACGAAGGTCCACAAACTATAGCGCTTTCTTCAGTCTCTTTTTTTCTGGACTCCAGAGTGGAAAGAGAAACAAACGCCTTCCACCAACCATCTGCAGTGTTTGTTCGTTTATTTGACTCCCCTTGGTCAGTTGTAAGACTTCAAATCTGCTCTTCTAGTGTCTACTGTGAAAGACCATCTATTTTGCAGATACTGTTCATAATTAGCAACCTCTTTTAAAGGATCTTTTAGGACTTTTACCATCTTGGTCAACCTTCTGGCAAACAATTTTCCCAAACATCATTTTCCTCTTCCTTTCTGTTTTTCAGTTGCAGCTCTTAAGTGTTCATCTCATGCCTAAAACCCATTGTGCCAGATACAAGCTGATTGGCCTTTCTATACGGGGACATCTGGAGGTGCCACTGTCGTTATGTTTACTTGGCAAAGGGGGAAAAAAAAAAAGTAAGAAATGGGTACATGTTATTTTAAACTCGTAGGAAAAAAAAAAAAGCAGCACAACTCAGGAAGTGAAGAATAAGTCACTTTGTACAAATCTGGATTTAAAGCATTCATCTGAGGTTTTTTTTATTTTAAAAATGTATAGTGACGATAAGGGGTATGAGTTCTCCCCTTCCCATTTTAAATTGAAAGCAAGGACTTATACTAGATTTTCCTCTTCAATTCCTCTGGTTTTAACAACAGAGCAGGCACTTTAATTCACTGTTTCCCTTTAAAGAGCTCCATTGACAAAACTTCACTCATCTAGGAGTTTCGTTATGTCCCAGAACAGATAAGATGGGCCATGCCAAGTGGGCAGGTTTTGGTCTGGAGTGACAGCGTCCGTTATGGAATAATCTACAAGAACATTTCATACACCAAACAAGCCAGGCGGGGGGAAAGGTCTGAAAGTGGTCTATCTGTCTCGATGCTTATTGGCTGCTGTTGTTTTAGTCCTGGAGAGGACACTGAGCTGATGATCTTATCTATAGGTGTGTGTTGTAGAGGGGGAAAAACCAGACCTGGTATTGGAAGGCTTGATGGTATGTTTCCTTAGTGCTACGGTTGAATGAAGGTTGACGTCCACGTGTTTTATGAGGAATCTGGCCTTTTCCTGATGACACGGATAGAGGAATAAGAGGCTCCCACAATGGCCTCCTAGTGTGCCACCATTCTGAACTCTGTGGCCTTTGGGTTTTCTGCTGATACCCAGGTCGTCGTGAGAGTGGCAGTCACAAAAGCCCTACTTTGAAAACCAGTAATTCTTCCATAAATATAAAGCTGGAGGGGATATGTAGTGTGTGCCATGTGGGATAAGAAAACACTCTTGATGAACTCTGTCCAGTCCAACAAACAATATCACCTGAAGTTCCAATACATAAGAAAAAACCATCATATAATTAAAATTTTATATGCTATGTATTTTGTGTATGTTTATATACACATACATACACAATACACAAAAGAGGTGTGTATACATAACACCCACACAAAATGCATATAAAATTGTAATTATGGTATATGCATTTTGTGTATGTATGTATGTGTATATGTATGTATATATACATATTTACGT